TGGGCATATTCAGGTTGATACAGCCATAGATATCTTCAAAGTGGTTAGCTAAGATAGTCTAGCCTCATAGACTGACTACTCCAGCCAGGACTTCAGATAAGCCCTGAATTTTCCTATCACCCTGGGACTAGAAAATAGCTAGCTCTCTCAGGACTTAATCATTATCTTAATTTTTTTCAGGGTTCACTAAAGATGCCTTTGCCCTCAAACAGCAGGCAGTAAGTTTAAGAACACAGGGTCCACAGACCACATTCCAAAGATGTGAGATGAGTGGTTTTTGGGTAATTTTGTGGGTTATAGATGTTTGTCATCATTTAGAAAGGTTGGTTGCAAATTGTTATTGGCCTTGGTCAGAGAGGAAGCTAAGAAAAGAAGGTTAGGTTCAGGGATCTTTTCCTGAAAGATAAAAAAGGGGGAGGATGGGAATGATAGAATAAAAGGGTGTATTAGTGAATCTACTTTTGAACTAAAAAGCAAATATTAACCTTAAATATTTTACATTGGTATGAATTTTTGTATGTTGATACAAATTTAAGGTTATTTTTGTTATAATGTACTGTGTATATGTTTCTACTCTTGTTTAAGGTATTATACCTATGCACCTCATTTAAAAATGTAACATAAAATTCTCGTCCTTGAGCGCTACTATTATAAACTATTTAGGATAATCAAGAAATGCAGGTTAGTAGTTAGTCACCTATAACAATCTAGCTTATAGTCATATTAGATATGTTTCCAAAGTCAAACAGAGGTATGTTTTATATAGATAGTCTTTGAGTACTTCAGAGATCTACAAAATATGGCATTTAAGATGTTTTAGTAATATAAGATTGTTCATGACTATGAGATAGATACATCTGCTCCTGGCAGCTCCAATCTACTTCAAAGAAGATGATAGGTGGTAAAGAACCTCTATATAGCATTTGCTTTCTTTTCTGCCAGTTAGCCACTGAGGAAAGGCACTGCCCTTGCTTCAAATGCTGACAATATACTGTCCAAATTGGAAAATTAGGTCACAAAAGAAGATGGCTGCCAAACTACCAAGACAAGGTAGGACATTCCTTCAAAATTCCTGCTTCATAGAAAAGTTTGTCAGAAATTCTAGACCTCTATGAAGCAGGAAAGATTCATCAGCCCTTTTGATTGGAGAAGCATGGAGAGAGAGAGAGAGTAAGCTGATTGTTCCTCCAAAACTTTCTTAATCTATCAGGTTTTTAGCTGAATATCTGACTCCTGAGTTTTTAATAATAATAGAACAATTTAAATAAAGGCACCAAAGAAGTATTCAAATCATGGTCCCCTATAGTAGTGTTCTTTCAAAGTATTTTCCTTACGTTTTTGTTTGGTTGTTTTTCTGATTTCTTTCTCAACCCATTTATCATCTACATAAAGGAGGGAGACTGATTTTTTTATCTTGTATCCTGCTACATTATTGAAGGTGTTTATAAGTTTAAAAGCTCCTTGGTAGAATTTTTGGGGTCACTTCTGTAAACTGTTATATCATTATCAAATAGTGAAGGTTTGACTTCTTCTTTTCTGATTTGTATCCCCTTGATGTCCCTTTGTTGTCTTATTACTCTAGCTAGAACCTCAAGTGCTATATTGAATAGATATGGAGAGAGTGGACAACCTTGTCTTGTTTCTGATTTTAATGGAATCTCTTTGAGTTTCTCGCCATTTAATTTGATGTTGTCTGTTGGCTTGTTGTATACTATCTTTATTATGTTTAGATTTGTTTCTCATATCCCTGTTCTCTTCAAGACTTTTATCATGAAGGAATGTTGTATTTTGTCAAATGCATTTTCAAACATCTAATGAGATGATCATGTGGATTTTTTTCAGTTTGCTTATATTGTGGATTACATTGACAGATTTATGTATGTTAAATCATCCCTGCATATCTGGGATGAAGCCTACTTGGTCATGGTCGATGGTTTTTCTGATATGTTCTTGGATTATATTTGCCAGTATTTTACTGAGCATTTTTGTACCAATGTTCATAAGTATGATTTGTCTGTAATTCTGTTTCTTAGTAATGTTTTTGTGTGGTTTGTATATCAGGGTAATTGTGGCCTTGTAAAAAGAGTTTGGCAATGTTCTTTCTGTTTCTATTGTGTGGAACAACTTGAGGAGTATTGGTATTAGTTCTTTGAAAATCTTGTAGAATTCTGATTTGCTTGTGTATAAGTTTATTTGGGTTTTTCCTATTTGGAATTGGCAGATATTTTTGAGTATGGAGAGTCTTTCACCAAACTGGACATTGCTTCAGTGTGTCACACTTGTTCCATTTTCCTCAGTGAATCTGATGACACATTGAAGTGAGATGTGACCCTGCAGGCACCTGAGGGTTGGCTCATTTGTTTTTCTTTTTTTTTCTTTTTTTTTAATTGATATTTATTAAGCTCTACATTTTTCTCTGCTCCCCTCCCTGCCTATCTCCTCCCTCCTTCAATCCTCCTCCCAAGGTCCCCATGCTCCCAATTTACTCAGGAGATCTTGTCTTTTTATACTTTCTACTTCCCATGTAGATTAGATCTGTATATGTCTCTCTTAGTGTCCTCATTGTTGTCTAAGTTCTCTGGGATTGTGGTTTGTAGGCTGGCTTTCTTTGCTTTATGTTTAAAAACCAGCTATGAGTGAGTACATGTGATAGTTGTCTTTCTGTGTCTGGGTTACCTCACTCAAAATGATGTTTTCTAGCTTCATCCACGTTTCTGCAAAATTCAAGCTGTCAGGCCGGGCGGTGGTGGTGCACACCTTCAATCCCAGCACTTGGGAGGCAGAGGCAGGCAGATCTCTGGGAGTTTGAGGCCAGCCTGGTCTACAAGAGCCAGTTCTGGGACGGGCACCAAAGCCACAGAGAAACCCTGTCTCGAAAAACCAAAAAAAAAAAAATTCAAGCTGTCATTTTTTTCTGCTGTGTAGTACTACATTGTAGAAATGTACCACATTTTCCTTATCCATTCTTCAGTCGAGGGGCATTTGGGTTGTTTCCAGGTTCTGGCTATGACAAACAAAGCTGCTATGAACATAGTTGAGCACATGTCCTTGTGGCATGATTGAGCATCCTTTGGATGTATACCCCAAAGTGGTATTACTGGGTCTTGAGGAAAGTTGTTTCCTAATTTTCTGAGAAGTTGCCACACTGACATCCAAAGAGGCTGGTACCAGCTTGCATTCCCACCAGCAATGCAGAAGTGTTCCCTTTTCCCTACAACCTCTCCAGCATAAGTTGTCGTCGGTGTTTTTTATCTTTGTCATTTTTACAGGTATAAGATGGAATCTCAGAGTTGATTTAATTTGCATTTCTCTGATGACTAAGAGGTCTGATCTCCAAAACATACAAAGAACTCAAGAAATGGGACACCAAAAGATCACATAATCCAATAAAAAAAAAAAAAAGGAGTACAGACCTAAACAGAAAACTCTCAACAGAGGAATCTAAAATGACTGAAAGACACTTAAGGAAATGTTCAACATCCTTAGTCATCAGAGAAAGGCTCATTTGTTTTTCATTGTTTCTTCTTTTGTTGTGGGAATTATCTGGCTGGATAACTTCTATTGGTTTGTGTTTAGGTGTACATATTCTTTACTATGACATCTCTATTATGTCACAGAGCACATCTAGAGAATTTATTTAAAAATGATGGCTGTACCTTTTATTTTAATTTTTTTATTCTGTTCATTGTATTTCCAGCACTTTAAAGGATTGAGTCTCCTCACTAATTGCAAGTAGTATTTTCCCTTTTATCCCACATTTTCAGTATCTTCTCTGCATTTTCTGGCAGATAACTCCAACATCCCTGTCATGTTTTCTTTGTATTCTTCCTTGTGAGATGTATATTGGGTAATGGTAAATTTGTATCTTGGACTTTATTAAGTCCATGTCATGAGACAGAATTCTGTTAGAAAATGTAATCATTTAGGTCCCATTGAGAGAACAGATCCCGCTTCTATGAATAGCAACTATTGTACAGCAATTTCCTCTAAGTTGCAATGTTCTACGCTGCAGGGAATCTATAAGACTTAGGATATTCTAGGATGACAGTCCTTAAAACTCAGGGTGTCAACAACTCAGCAATTTCAGGAATTCCTGAGACTGACCAGATTTACTAAGCCCCTTCTTCTCTTCCATGAACCTGCACCCATGCTGTACATTAGCATTTCAGTGATGCAACTGCTTTTAAGTCACTTTTGCTCCCTTAAGTAACCCCCATTCCTATTCCTGTAAGTAACTCTAATAAACTTATTAGTTCACTCCATTTGACTTAGGTGGTATCGTAATTTTTGTCTGTTGTCAATTTCCTAGCTGGAGTCACTAGGCATTTGTTCAGGAGTTTATATATAATTATAGAAACCCCTTTTTTAGTTTCTCCACTGTCATGATCTTCATAGTATTTTCTGCTTCCTTGAGATAACCCCTTTTAGATCTCTTGCCAAAAAAATGTGCTTTATTTACCCAACTCTTTCAATATATTTGCAGTGGGCTCATATGTAGGAGGAAAAGGAGAGAGGGAGGGAAGAAGAAAGGGAGAGGGACCATTACTTGGAAAGAGATTGAGACTTACTTCTTAAAGACTGGATATGCATCCTACTCTTCTCGTCCAGTATCATTCTGACCAGAAAGTCAGGTCTACATTAAAATTGTCTTAGTTTTGAATCCTGCTGGATCTTATTGTTGTTAGTATACCTGCTGCTGCTTCAGGGTTTCAAGGATAACCCAGGGTCTTGGGTACAAGGGATTAGAGAGAAGAAGAACATTACAGAATGTCCCCCAGGACCTGAATGCAAAAAGACTTTGATTGCTCAGCTAGGGATAGAGAGCTCCTCTTGCAGTTATGTATGGTACTGAGGTCCACTTACTTGTCAGGGCTATGTTTGGTCCATAGTGGATTAAATAGAGGAAGAAACCTGGAAAAGGCATAGCGAGTTACAAAGAACTTTGGATTTGGCTTGAATTTGCCAAGGATCCATAGCCCTGAAGTAGCTGCTGCACATACCTTGTCCAGGGTGGAGAGACGGTTTTGGTGTCGACATGGGGCAGAGTATGTTTTCCTCCATCTTGCCCAGAATCAGAACTAAGGTTTACAGTGGAAAGTAAGGAGACAAAAAAAGGAAAGAAAGAAAAAGAAAAAAAAAGAAAAGAAAGAAAGGAAAAAGTTACCATAAACTTGGCACATACTTTATGATGTGTAATATGTTGACTGTATAAAGTCATTATAAAGCCAACAAGATGAATGAAAAAATTGTTTTAGTCTTGATAAATCTCAGTCCTTGGAATAATCAGTAGCTTTGATTTGGGATACAATCTGGCTCTTATTTACTACCACTGGAAATGGTTTCCGTCTGTGGACTGCTGTGATCATAGAATATATACAACATCTTCAAGGGAAGTCGTTGTCCTTAACACACCTGTAAGTTTTATAAGCACTGACTTCTATTGAGAGAACTGCTAATTAGTGCAATCTTTGAAAAGCCTAATGCAGACAATTCTAAACTGCAACATGCAAAGGCACACTTGCATCTATAGATCAACATGATCTTACTGCAAAAATGCACAGCCACCAGAATACTGTTGCGTACACTAATCATCCATGTCCCAATAGAGAAGAGCCAGAATTATTCAAAACAGATGCCAGAGCACTTGTGAATTAAATTTTGAAAAGGAAATTAATTAGAATTCTATAACAAATCTATTTGTGAAGCAAATCTTTACCTCTTGGCTTTGACTATTTCTTTTTCATAAATAAGAGTTATGTATCTTTATTTAGACTTCTTCCTGCTTCTGACTCTGTGTTCTAACTCCCTGGTCAGCCTATGGTAACATGGCAGGCATGTAGACTTAGGATGCTCGACTGTCACTGACCTGAAGGATGCAGCACTTACTGAGCTGCCTTCCAGTCAGCAGATTATAACCACACTTGATGGAAAGGGAGGATTGCTTCCCATGAAGGCCGAGGGTGCTCTCTGTGGCTGAAATGCTCCAGTGTCAGGAGGTGGCTGTAGCAGATCTTGGTAGTCCAGAGGGCCACGGAAAGCCCTTACCAGGAGTGGCAGCCTGCACAGCCTCCAGAATTCTGAATGACCTCAGCGAAGTCATTTTGGTTTGTATTTGTTTTCTTTTCTCTCCTAGTCCAGGTATTTACAAAGCCTGAAAAGTTTGCTAACAAAAAAATGCTCAATTTTTTTCCTGATTGTTTTCATATATAAATAAATTCCAGCACCGTTATGACAAAAAGGCAAATTATTCCCATTATTCACCCTTTTAACCATTTTCAAAGGATGATCAATGGAGTTATGAAAACTAAGAAAATTCTAAAGACATTTTTTTTTCTGGTGAGACATTTATGATCTTTCTTCTAAACTTCACTTCATTACAGCTATTATGAAGTACAAGCACCCTCCAAAAATGTTTGCTGTTCAGTTTTACCTTGCAAATGATGAGTACTCTCCAGTTAGTGTAAGAATGGATATTCTTCTTTGAGATAAAAACTTAGAGAGTTTAAATATAAAACATGTGCTTAAATTAGTTCTAATCATTAGCTGTGGCTAAGATGTGAAATCAGTCTAGTTTCCTAGCAATGAATGGATGGGTGGATGGACGGATGAGGAATGAATAATGATATTCACTGTTTAGCAACAGAAAGGAATAGAATGCTGTCATATGCAGAAAAATAGCTAGAACTTGGGGGCATTAAGCAAAATAAACCAGAAACAAAAACATGACATTTGTATGTAGAAGCTCTAAAAAAAAAAAAATACTTTTTTTTTTTTTTTTTTTGTATAGAGGAGTAATTACCTAGGTTGGGCAGTGGGAGGTGGATGGGTAAAGGTAAGCTTGGTCTGACCACTACGTGTCTTCTGCCTTTGTCCATCACTGGACTCTACAAACTTGTGCAATTAATACATTTTCATCAAAAATAAACTTAGAAAAATAAAAATGCATGAACACTAGATTTTTTTGGGTATAATATCTTGAAGGCTGATCTTGTGCTATTCCTGACATCTGTAGAGGAAGAATGCATTTTAACATTTTAGAATTGGTGCTCTGCAACCCCAGGTAGTTATTGTTTTTGCAAAATGTAACATAGAGAGATACTGTTCTGCTGACCTCTTGCCAGTGCAAATGTGTACAGCAATACGGTTGAAGTAATTTGTGATGTTTTCTGTAGTTTTGTGGGATGTGTACAAGCATAAGGATTCCTCTTGTTGCAGCCAAGGTCTACTTCTTTCTGCCCCTTTCCATTACAATCATATAGAAAGCACAAATTCTGTTTGTCTTGAGTTGCAGAGATTCCATGGGTTAAATAGCCCAGACTTCCACCCGCCGTACTTCAAGATGGAATCCTATTAGACTTTATGAGGTTATCCTTGCCTGCTGAAATTTTCATTAGTTATGAATTGTGTTCTTCCTAACATTCAGGAGTTGAGAAACAGCTGGGAGACGCTGTTCTGGGCTACAGCTGCCTGCCGGAATTCTTCAGATACAATGAAGCAAAGAAAATCACTCAGTGTGTGTAATTTTTCCTTTCTCAATAAAACATTTTATCTCCCCAAATTATGGAAGGGAATAAAGACACATAGGAGCCCCTTGCCATAACAGACTACGGCTGGTGGATCCCTCTGCCTCATTGACAGAGCAGACTCACCAGGAAATACAGACGTTAAATCATTATAATCAAATCACCATTTCAACTCCGGTTCCTCTCATCTAACTCTAATTTATCATAAACAGTGTGATTAGGGAGTGATGAGTGACTCTCATTCTCATTCCCTTTGCTGTGATGGTACTAATCTATATTCCATGGAAAGATAGTCTCAGAAGCCAATAACATATTTAAATTATGATTTGAGTTTTCTAAATAAATATTTATCCAGATGAGGCATATTAATAATTCAGTGCCCACAAACTCTCAAGGTGTCGTGCTTCAATGGAGGATTGACTCACATTAAAAGGGTATGTTATCAGTCCCCTAGAGCCGAGAGCTTTGATGGTGGGTGGGCAGACTGACTTCTTACCCTAGCAGGCCCAGGGGATAGAAGGGCAAACAGGTGACCTTAGGAACTGATGGATAATAGGGTAGACAAAGAACAGTAGCATAGGATATTAGGGTAGAGAAGATAACTTTTAATCCGGATATTGAGATCAAGAAAGGGAACCTCCCCAAGTACACTGTTGAGGTCTTCTGAATGATAGTGATGGATCCTTTTCATTCACCCCTATCTTGTGACTTTCATATCTTCAGGAGCTCCATCACAGCAATGGAAAGTTGAATGCCTATATCCTATAGAACAGTCAAGTTCAGCTGAGCTGATCTTAAGTCAGCCCTGTAGACTTACGTTAACCTAGAGTTAGCTAAAATTATCTTAGACAAATTCCTCCTCCCTTAAAACACACACACACACACACACACACACACACACACACACACACACACATGATTACTTTGAAAACATGATGGGATATGAAAGCACAATACTACATTTCGGATGTGGAATATCCCCAAAGTTAAAAGTATGTGTTAAAAGTATGTTCATCTGTTTGATGCAATTGGACATGTGAGATTTCAGAGGTAGGATTCAATAAATGGAAGTTGGGCATGTGCCCTTGGCGGCAATACTGTGACCCAGAATGCTCTCTTTCCTTCCTAGGTATCATGAGACAAGAGGCCTTTTGCCTACACTCTCTAGTAATGTACAGTGCTGCTTTGGGCTCAAAGCAAGCAGAGAAAGTAACTTTGGAATGGGAACCTCTGAAAGTCTAGATCACGGCAAGCCTTTTCTCTTACTGTGTGGGATGTATCCAGGTTTTTGCTTCAGTAATGAAAATGGCTAACATAAAAGATCCAGGAAGTGCTGCAACAGTGCCTTGTCCAGCACCAGGTGCTTCTTCTGTGATGGTGTCCTGACCAGGAGCTGTGCTTGCTGTCGCTGTGACCACTATTGAGGTACTGCTCATTGCGAGCTTAAGAGAAAAATCACAAACTCCAAGTGCTGTTTATATTAAATTTCTATGATTTTTACACAATAAATTAAATCTATTTTTAACTTATAGGATATATACACACATGAGGATTACACATGTGTGTAGATGCATGCATCCTGGGCCATTTAAATCACATTCAACACATGATATTCTCAAAATTTTCAGTTTTTCCTAGGGAAAACACTAGTACCCTTCCTTACAGTGTTTGAAAATAGAGGTTATGAAGTTGCTCTCTGCCCATTTGAAAGGTCGGGTAAATGCCTGCGTTTGTGTCATAGCCTGGGAAGAGCAGCTGACTGGGTGGACAGCCATGCGCTCCTCCTCTCTGATGTTTGTTCTTGGGGCCAGTTGCTCTCCAGCCTCCCTCTTCCCTGCTGTTGTCAGTGATGCTTCTCCAGTTTATTAAACTGAGACCAGCAAACTTCTAAGCCCTTCATTCTTTTGATTTTTCCATCACTAATAACACTCCATTTATTTTTAATAAGCATATTTTATTTTTAATTTATTGTTATCATTACTATTATTTTTTAATATTATTATTTGTGTGTGTGTGTTTGTGTGTGTGTGTGTGTGTGTGTGTGTGAGAGAGAGAGAGAGAGAGAGAGAGAGAGAGAGAGAGAGAGAGAGAGGAAGGGAGGGAGGGAGAGGGAGAGAGACAGATAGATGGTAGCCATGTGTGTGCTATGAAGCATGTATGGAGACCAAAGGACAACTCTAAGGAGTTAATTCTCTCTTTCCACCATGGGTTGTGGGACTCAAACTCAGGTTGCCAGACACTGAGATATCTCACAGGCACTATTTTCCTCTAGAGACAGGATCTCATTATGCTTCTCTGGCTAGCCTTGGCCTCATGGTCATTTTGCCTTGAGCCCCTGAGTAACCAGGATCATAAGGGTATGATAAATGTTCCTATCTCTCATGTCCACAGGGAATGTCTGTTTGTCTTGCTTTTATGACAACCATTTCCAGTTTTCTAAGATCTTCATCACACATAAATCTGAGAGCCAGTCTCCCAAACTCAATAAAAAGCAGCTCTGAGGATTTTGCCTGAAATGACGGGGAATTGACAGAGAGCCCTGGAAGAACCGGCCA